CCTCCTCCCTTCACTCATCCATCCATCCATCCATCCATCCATCCATCATCCATCCATCCATCCATCCATCCATCCATCAATCCGTCCATCCATCCATCCATCCATCCATCCATCATCCATCCATCCATCCATCATCCATCCATCCATCCATCAATCCGTCCGTCATCCATCCATCCATCCATCCATCCATCCATCATCCATCCATCCATCCATCCATCCATCCATCCATCCATCCATCCATCCATCCATCATCATTTTTACTGATCTCTCTTTCCTCTCTGCAGCACTCTAGACTAAAACCTCCAACCTTCCATCCCTCTTTTCTTCTCCTATTCTCTCTCCCTTCTCCTTCTCTCCCCTGGCTCAGTGCCTCCTATTTACATACCATAAATCCTCTAATATTGGCCTGTATTCTATTAGCAGCCGGCTCTCTAATAATGGTCTGTCTCACTGTCGGCGGAGGTAAATAATGGCCCGCCTCGTATACAGGCCGGGGCTATAATTAGAACCAAGCCGTTAGCATAGGAAGTCCCATCGTTAGCGCAGACAGCGCAGCAGACAGGAGGCCGGCTTATTTTGTTTTTATGACCGGAGTTGCGGAAAACAACTCGTGAAGTTTGACCCGCTAGAAAAGCGAGGTGATCGAGAACGCTGGGACCCTTTATCCACCTGGATCCCTGCTCTTTTTGGCCCTCATGTCCCTCGGTTGTCAGACTAAACTCGCCCCCACTTCCTCGCCGCCTCGGCCGAATCTAGACCCACAGCGTGTAGCACAGACCACGCTTCAATATTGAGCATAAATCAAAAATGTCTGCATCAAGCTCACTGCGACACACTGCAAATGTGATTATCGGTAGGTCTGGTGGTAACCAGGCAGCGTTAAAATGACAGAATTTCGTTGGCCTTCGTTGTTGCTATAGCTCTGTATTTATTTGTCTATCCTCATCCCCCAATACATCTTCCTACATCTTATTTAATTGATTTTATTTTTCTATTGTATATACTGTGTCTAAACATCCTCTATTTTCTTGTATGTGCAATTTTTCCTGCTACTGGAAATACAATTTCCCGAAGGGAGTAATCCCAAGGGATTAATAGAGTCAAGTTTAAGTCTAAGTCTGTTCTGAATTTCCCTTGAATTAAATTTTTTTTTAAGCTTTGTTTTGCAAGTCTGTTTGGCCAATTCTGTCGCTTTTTTTTCTTTCGTATTGCTGTTCAGAAAAATTGTAGCTGCTGGAAGATGTCTGAAAAATGTTCTGTATATCGTTATGGTAACTGTACTTTTTCAATAAATTAACCTATTTTTTATAGGTTCAAAGAGACACAAAATCTGGTTTTTATTCATTCCACTGGTCGTCTGTTTTGATCAAATAGAAATAGAGGCCTGCCTCTAATTCTGGCCTCCTTCCAATAGTGGCCTGGACCCAGATGCACCTGAATGAAATAAAGGCCTATATTAGAGGATTTACGGTAATAGAGTTGGTTGCTCAGTGCTGATCAGCTCAGTGGAGCTCAGGGTTTTCCATGACAGAGAAATGTAAACAGAACTGCCTTTGTGGTTCTCATCCTTAGGAGAATAAATCCATCAGAGTTCCCTGTCCTCCTCTCCAGCTCTGTGACTGAACGGAGAATTTAGACTCTTGGTCCAAATGTTTCAGCAGCTGCTATCTTTAGGCAGTTTACTGTGAGATGAACAGTTTCTGATGTTTATTCTCAGGTCTACATCCAGCAACATGAAGTCATTGCAGAGTTTCTATTTGATGAAAGAGCTGTTAAATCTGTGCTTTGCTAGATACACTTCAGGATAAACATCTCCCATATATTACACTATGTCCCTCCTTGAAAAGATCTTTAGGAATAATAAATCGCTATTTGCTTCACTCTATATTTAGTTCATTAAAGATTAAGGACCATCAAAGCATCTCAACCTGCAGGAAGATCCATAGATCTTCACCAAACTGTTCCTGCCTTCTGGTTTCAGATCCGATCCTTTATTGAGAAGCAGCACTTGGTTTGAACCTGGATGCTTCGCTGATGGAACCAAACAGACTCGGCCTTTTCTTCTCCAGGTTCCCCAATCATCTGCATCTCCATCAGAAAAATTACATGAGCAGAAGCAGCAGTCTTCTGCTTTTCATCCTTGGTGTTTCTGCAGAATTTTTCTGCACTCTGCTGCTGATTGGCTAACTCTGCATGATTGACTGCTTCCTCCAGCTTGCAGAGCATTATTTGACAGGATGTCTTTTGGACGGATGTCTCAAAAACTAATCAAGTAGAATCAGTGAATCTACATGCCTTCCATTAGACGAGGTATTTCAGCAAACCTCTTCTCTCCAGTTTGAATCATTGTGATTTAGATCCATCTCTTCAACAAGTTAATTCTATTAAAACATATTTAGTTCATATGCTGGTGAAGATTCTCAGTCATTCGGGTCATAGTCATTCCAAAAAAGTTTAAAAAACAATCCACTGGACTTTGTTTCCAAGTTTGAAGACGTTTCCGTTCCATCCAGGAAGCTTTTTAATTCAAAATATTCAAATTATGACTTTTTCCTCATATTAAACTGAAATAATGTTTAAATATCAGTTAACTTTTTTTCCCAGTGGCCCTAATCCTCTAAAGTCAAGAAGTGGAAGGTTGGTTAATAATTAATATAAAGGCATAAAAGAAAGGACCCAGCAGGGGGCAGTGTTGGTCAAACTGTGTTTACTACATTAAAGAAGAAGAAGAAGAAGGAGGAGGAGGCGGAGGAGGAGGCGGAGGCGGAAGTCCAAGATGGCGATGGACGGGATGATGTCCACGTCCCCGGGTCTGTCCTACCAAGCAGCGGGGGATTTCTACCCCAGAAAGTTCGGTCCGAAGCCGGACGTGGTTCCGTCCGGCGTGACGGAGCGGAAAGTGATCCCGCTGGATAAACCGGACATGGTGTCGGTGGACGTCATAAACATCAAAGAGCCGGGTTTGTTATGCTAGCTCTGCTAACAGCTGGTGTTTCCATTCTTAGCTTCAGGGAATCTTGTTTTTAAGGTTCTGTTAATCGGTTCTGTCTTTGTTTATTCTGTTGTTCGCCTGCTGCTGCCTTTAGTTTATCTCTGCTGATCTTTAACTTCTCCAACTCACTGTTTCTTTCCCACAATCCATGTGAAACAGTTTAACCCAGTTTATACTGAACTGGATCTAATCCAGTCCAGCTTTTAAATTCGGATCCTGATCCAGTTCCTCCTGTCCTCTGAAAGTCATGATTAGTCATGATGGCAAAGCTTTGGGTGACAGTGGAAATAAAAATCCCCAGTTAAACTAGAAGAATCTAGTTTTAGTTTCCATTTGAAGCTGCTACCTCTGACCAAATATGTCAGAGGTAGCAGCCAATCACTGATAGGATAAAAGAAGATGAATTTAGAGGTTAAACTTTTTGCTTTTCAGTTATCGAGCTTCTCGATAACTGAAAACCTCCCCAACCACAGCCTATATGTTTGACCCATCATCTAGCATCTAATGCTGATGATTTTTAATTAGGTTTTTAATTTGAATGAATGATTACTTTATTTCAGTTTAAAAACAAAAAATGAAATAATATATCTTTTACAAAAGAATCCATCAGACAGCAACAGAAAAAGGCTGAAGCCACAAGGCTTATCTTTCCTATCCTGTACTATCATAACAATAATTCACAATAAAATCATTTGTACTAATACATAATTACAAAACACAGAATAACTTTAACTGAAAAATCAAACTCAGTCAAATTTCATTGTAACCTTTTATAATATTAATATTTTAAAGTCCTTTTGAAAACTAATATAGAGTAACACATCTTTATTTCATCGTTTAAGACATTCAGTGGTGTCAAAGTTCACACATTCGTTACTTCAGTAGAAGTATAGATCCTGCAGTTTAAAAACACTCTGGTAAAAGTTGAAATATCAACTTGACCTCTTTACTCAAGTAAAAGTGAAAAGTATGTGCTCCAAAAACTACTTAAAGTATAAAGTAACCTTAATAAAAACAGCCAGATGCCGCTATATGAACTGAAAGCTAAATTTTTGGACTATTTCTATAAAT